GTCCTCTGACATCATTAGTCCAGTGTAAACACACAATCCGGCTCGAAGGACCAAATGTTTTTGAGGTTTAATTAAGGACTGTATATTACTGGAGTAGGTGGATTTGTATCCGCACTGGTGTGTCGGTAAGAACACATACGACTCAGAGTTTGCAGCAAAGTTTGTAGTTTACTCTTGATTCAAGTTGAATAGGAACAGTGAGTGGTAACAGTAAGTGGTATTTTGTCATTAACTCACTCACATAAAACCACTTCTGAAGGAACAATTGAGCTATTAGTCTTCTGCATCAGAGCATTCATATTTCGTTCGTCTCTTACTGACTAGGCACTGACTAACGTCATTCAATAAACGACTCTCTGATTGGCTGAAACCTTCTTAACATGCACTTTTATGATGGACAGATGCACTTTTATGATGGACAGATGCACTTTTATCACGGATAGATGCACTTTTATCATGAATAGATGCACTTTTATGATGGATAAATGCACTTTTATCATGAATAGATCCACTTTTATGATGGATAAATTGACTTTTATCATGAATAGATGCACTTTTATCATGAATAGATGCACTTTTATCATGGATGGATGCACTTTATGATGGATAGATACACTTTTATCATGAATAGAGGGACTTTTATCATTGGTAAATGCACTTTATGATGGATAGATACACTTTTATGATGGAGAGATGCACTTTTATTATGAATAGATGCACTTTTATCATGAATAGATCTACTTTTATCATGAATAGACACACTTTTATCATGAATAGAGGCACTTTTATCATTGGTAAATGCACTTTATGATGGATAGATAGACTTATGATGGATAGATGCATTTTATGATGGATAGATACACTTTTATCATGAATAGATTCACTTTTATCATGAATAGAGGCACTTTTATCATTGGTAAATAAATGCACTTTATGATGGATAGATGCACTTTTATGATGCATAGATGCACTTTTATTATGGATAGATGCACTTTTATGATGGAGAGATGCACTTTTATCATGGATAGATGCACTTTATGATGGATAGATATACTTATGATGGATAGATGCACTTTTATGATGGATAGATGCTCTTTTATCATGGATAGATGCACTTTTATGATGGATAGACACACTTTAATCATGGATAGATGCTCTTTTATCATGGATAGATGCACTTTTATCACGGATAGATGCTCTTTTATCATGGAAAGATGCACTCTTATCATGGATAGATGCACTTTTATGATGGATAGACGCACTTTAATCATGGATAAATGAACTTTTATAATGGATAGATGCACTTTTATTATGGATAGATGCTCTTTTATCATGGATAGATGCACTTTTATCATGGATAGATGCACTTTAATCATGGATAGATGCACTTTTATCATGGATAGATGCACTTTTATGATGGATAGTGTTATGGCAAAAATTCTTTCAAACAGACATCACTGCGTAAGAGACGAGTCAAATTAATAAAAGGAAAAGAGGTTTATTATTCTTGCAAGAATAAGGCTCAGTCACTAAAAGAGATTGGGATACTGTGAAGTGAAATGACGCCCAGAACACAGGCCGGAGTCTGTTTATATAGCTCTCCCAAGGTTATTTACTGCAGGCCAAGCCTCTCTGTATTCCACAAGCAATAGGATTCACATGCTAGGTTAGATTTACCACTAACCCCCTCTATCCTCACCAGTCTAGGATGACCTCTGACCCGGCCGGTTCTCTGGTGCCTCACTCCACTCTTGATAATGGAAAGACAAATTACCTCCTTCACGGGTAGCAAAACCATAAGACATTCTTCTGTTATTACATATAGGAGGTAAACAGAAACACAAGACCCAATAATCATATGTAATACATGTGAGATTAAAATTTCCCCAAAAATAGATACACTTTAATCATGGAAAGACGCACTTTTATGATGCATAGACACACTTTTATAATAGAGAGATAGATTTTATGATGAATATATGCAGTTTTATGATGGATAGATGCACTTTTATCATGAATAGATGAACTTTTATCATGGATAGATACATTTTTATGATGGATAGATTCACTTTTAGGATGGATAGATGCACTTTTATGATGGATAGATTCACTTATCATGAATAGATGCACTTTTATGATGGATAGATTCACTTTTAGGATGGATAGATGCACTTATAATGGATAGATTCACTTTTAGGATGGATAGATGCACTTATGATGGATAGATGCACTTTTATGATGGATAGATTCACTTTATTATTATTATTATTATACCTTTATTTAACCAGAAGAAAACTCGTTGAGATTAAAAATCCCTTTTCCAAGAGTCGCCTGGCCAAGACAGGCAGCAGCACAAATAACAAAGTTGCAGACATAAAAAAAACAAAAAAACATGTAACATATATCATAAACATAAAACAGAAGCAAGGATCATCCAAATAATTATTCATAACAATTACAGACAGTATGTATAGCCTCTATATCATTTAAAAGTAATTTAAAAGCAACCAGTGAAACTGGTTCCTGAAGATGTAAGACATCTTGCAGTTGATTCCATGCGCTAGGGGCCGCATACATAAACGACCCTTTTCCCATTTCAGTCCAGACATGAGGGATAGATGCATTTATCATGGATAGATGCATTTTTATGATGGATAGATTCATTTATGATGGATAGATGCACTTGTGCATCACAGATGCACATCGGGGCGGCAGTGGCTCAGTGGTTCAATCCTCGGTTCCACCTGACCAAGTGTCGAGGTGTCCATGAGCAAGACACCTAACCCCAGCTGCTCCCAACGAGCTGGATGGCGCCTTGTATGGCTGAGTGAATGTATGAATGAGTATGTGAATGGGTGAATGTGAGGTAATATGTAAAGCGCTTTGGTGGCCATTAGGTCTATGAAAGAGCTATTTAAATGTAGTCCATTTACCATTTGTGATGGATAGATGCACTTTATGATGGAGAGATAGACATTTATCATGGATAGATACACTTTTATGATGAATAGATGCACTTTTATAATGATTATATGGAGTTTTATGATGGATGCACTTTTATGATGGATAGATTCACTTATAATAGATAGATGCACTTTTATGATGAAAGGTGGACTTTTATCATGGATAGATGCACTTTTATCATGAATAGATGCACTTTAATCATGGAAAGACGTACTTTCATAATGGATAAATGCACTTTTATCATGAATAGATGTACTTTTATAATGGAGAGATAGACTTTTATAAAGAATATATGCAGTTTTATGATGGATGCACTTTTATGATGGATAGATGCACTTTTATCATGGATAGTGCACTTTATTCATGAATAGATGCACTTAAATCACGGATAGGTGCACTTTATCACGGATAGATGGACTTTTATCATGGATAGATGCACTTTTATGATGGATAGATGCACTTTTATGAGCTTCAATCTGATGGTTGCAATCCACTGCCATTATAACGCTTGGAAAAGCCAGGACATTTTCAATATAACTCTGATTGTATTCGTCTGAAAGAAGAAAGTCACACCTATAGGATGACTTGAGCGCGAGTAAATCATGAGGAAATTTTCCTTTTCGGGTGAACTATCCCTTTTAAACATGAACTTCCATCAATGGTTTTACCTTTAAAATGAATGTAGACTAAGAAAAATAAATAAAAATAAACTGAATTATGGATCTGTGCATAAAAATCTCTCACAAGGGTTGTATTTTTAAACATTTGAGTGTACTATTTAAACCAGAGAGGCAGATGGTATTAGAGAACTGTAAACTGCCTTTCATCTGTCGTGTTATTGTTCTCCAGCCTCATGAGTGTGTGTGTAATTGTCCATACACACACACTTAAGCATGTGAGGAAGGGTGTGTAAGTGTCAAGGGAGGCAGACTGAAACACACCGGAGAGGAGTGTGATCTTCAGGGATATGAGACAGATGTCAGACTGCTCTTGCATCATCAACAGAAGCCGTGCGCTCGCTGATCCGGCCGGAGCTTCAGTGTGTTCAGTCCGTCCTCAACAACACAACTGCACCTTTAGACGGACAATCTTTAAATGAAAAGTTAAAAATAAATAAAAATGATTAAAGGCGTATTCCATTACCTCTACACTGAGATTTGTTTAACACTACTGTTCAACAGTTTGATTTTTCTTTTAAAGAAATAAAATTGATCAAAAGTGACAGTGAAGATGTTTGCAATGTATATATATATATATATATATCAAAAAATCTAATAAATGCTGTTCCTTTTAACTTTCCATTCATCAAAGAATCTCTTTTCCACAAAAACATGAAGCAGCACAACTATTTTTAACATTGATTATAATTAGAACAAAATTAACATCACGTGATTTGCTGCAGGAATGATGCTGAACATTCAGCTTTGCCATCAAAGGAATAAAAAAAAAGACATTTTTAAATATATTACAATAGAAAAAAACAATGTTTTAAATGGTAATGTGTCACAATATATCACGTTGAATAAATAAATGCAGCCTTGGCGAGCAGAAGAGACTCTTTCAAAAACATTCAGTAATCTTAAAGACCACAAATATTTGATTATTCCATATGCAGTCAAATGGGGCGTTGTAAGAAATGTGAACCTAAACTGAATACATGATGATTCGTATAATCTTAGACCTGTACATTTCTGATCAGGAGATTGTCGCACATCTGCTTTGAAACAATATGTATTGTGAAAAGCTATAAATGTAAATAACTGATTTGAATGGATTGAATACTGTTTCTTGATTGTCACGTCAGAGGAAGTAAACGCTGTTTTGAACAGTTGGTTCCCTGCGGTCCTCATTATGAACGCGTGACGCACTGCGCGAGAGGGACTCATTATTTCCCTGTGTGTAAAGATGGTAAACACTCAAAGCTCAGACATCACACACTCACGTCAAAATATTTCCTAAAGCGCTTCAGAGCTTCACAAATATACTATTCTCAAACATTGACACAAACACTTGACACAATATCTAAAAGTGAGAAATGAGGTTTTCTAAAATGTTTATTTGATTTTCTTGATTTCCTTTCTAGAACACACACTCTCTCTTCATCCAATCGCTTCCTTTTAATCCGACAACAACAGCAAATAAGCAGAAAAACAAATTATAAATAAACATCTTACATCATACATTTCAATACAATACTTGAGGGAAAACGAGTGTAAAAGAAACAGAATAAAATACTTTTTTGGATAGTTTTTATAAACTGTTGTTGTTTAGTGAGTAAACCTTAACTCACGGAGAGCACCAAACACGATTTGGCGAAGCTCGTGTTTTTACAGCACAGGTTACAGCGCACACAAACACTGATAAAGATGTCGCTGAGCTACATGGCACAAGAGACGTTCAGCTGCAGTTTATGCTACACTGTAGTCCAACAGAACACTTGCATGTATAAAATCGATATTTCTGCCACAATGTCAATCACAGGTTCAGGAAATGACGGTCTCCACTGCCATACAATTCAGAACTGAGCAGTCGATTCTTCAACACAAGTAATAACATGAAGTAGAGAACCGCTGTTTGTGGCTCTGACACCGATGCACAAACACTTTAATCGTGACATACGAGATGAATGTGTGTGATACACAAACCTTCTTTGTTGCGAAAACATTCGACTGGTCATTTTTTATTGGTGATCAATGAATGAACATCTGAACATTTGTGTGTGACTGTATTCATGCAGACGGTTGTGCATTTCAGTGCGCTTTACTGTAAAACGACCCCGCGTCACAGGATGTGGAATGGCAGAAAGCTCATCCTCGGTGACTTTCAGTGTTAACAAAACAACAGCACAGTGAAAGAAAGGCACAAGTATGACATAGAAGTTGAGGAACATTGAGAAACAAAGGTAGTGTCAATTCCAGAGAAGTGCTTCCTGCGAACGGTGGCATTTCCGAAACAATACTGAGAGGATCGCTGGTTAGCAGGACTGTGAGAGTTTATGCACTGGACGAGGTGTTTACGTGTGTGTGCGGTCAGTGCTCAGAGCCAGGCTAGCCTCAGTGGTGTCCATCACGCTGCCTGTAGGGGGCGCACACAGCCGCGCTCCTGCCTGGGCCTGGCGGATGCAGTTGAGCCACTGCTGTTTGTTGAAGGCGTCGCTGGCCTGGAACGAGTGCGACTGCAGTTGTCCTCCGCTGCGAAACACCACCCGGAAAAAGTTCTTGGCTGGACGAGGACAAACAGAGTTTGACATGTTTGTGACAGGCGTGTATAGCTTTTCACAATTTTTCATACACTACAAGTCAAACGTTTTTGATCGGTAAGATTTTAAAAGAAGTGTCTTCTGCTCGGCTAAAAATACCAAAAAATACAGTAATATTATGAAATATTATTACAATTTAAAACGGCTGTTTTCTATGTGAATATATAGTAAAGTGTAATTTATTCCTGTGATCAAAGCTGGATTTCCAGCATCATTACTCCAGTCTTCAGAGTCACATGATCCTCCAGAAATCACTCTAATATGATGATTTCATGCTCAAGAAACATCTCTCATTTCTATCAGTGTTGAAAACCGTTATTTACATTTTATTGATTCTTTGATGAATATAAAGTTTAAAAGAACAGCATTTATCTGAAAAATAAAGCTCTTGTAAAGTTAAACTGTACCGTTCAAAGGTTTGGGGTGAAATAAATTGATCATAAATTGATCAAAAGCTACGGTAAAGACATTCATAATATTATTAAAGATTCTATTGACGATAAATGCTCTCTATTGATCAAAGAATCCTGAAAACAATGTGTACACAACTGTTTTCAACACTGATAATAATAATGAATGGTTCTTGATCATCAAATCATCATATTAGAGTGATTTCTGAAGGATCATGTGACACTGAAGACTGGAGTAATGATCACAGGAATAAATTGCATTTTAAAATGTATTAAAGGGATAGTTCACTTTGAAATTACATTTTGGTATGTTTTATCTTACCTCAAGGGCATCCAAGATGTAGGTGTCTTTGTTTCCGCAGTATTTTCAATTTTGATATTTTTAGGTCAAACCGTTCTTGTCTAGTCATATAATGGCGGTCTATGGTCACCACCTCAAAGAGCATGCACAGAGAAGTCCAGATTAAACATGATTTAATGACTCGTAAATGTAAGTACACATTGATGGCCTAAGACACGAAACGAGCGGTTTGTGTGAGAATACGAACAGTATTTATATCGTTTTTACCTTGTGTAACCACGGCCACGTCCAACTGATCTGAATCAGTTGTCCAATGTCCAACTGAACCGAACTGAATCATGTCCAACGTTCTGCCGGAAGTGATCTGCGCGTCTACGTCACTCGTTGTTTACACAGAGATTTCGGAAGTTTTACCTTTTACTGTAGAAGATCTAAACATATTTAGAAATATCAAAATCGTCTTCCATTGCAATTTCCTGTATATCTATATATGTTTAGATATTCACAGTGAAGGGTAACACTTCTGAAATCTCTGTGTAAACAATGAGTGACGTACACGCGCGAGAGATCACTTCCGACGGAACGATATAAATACTGTTCGTTTCCTCACACAAACCGCTCGTTTCGTGTCTTAGGCCATCAATGTGTACTTACATTCACGAGTCATTAAATCATGTTTAATTTGGACTTCTCTGTGCATGCTCTTTGAGGTGGTGACCATAGACCTCCATTATATGACTGACAGACAAGAACGGTTTGACCGAAAAATGGCAAAATTGAAAATACTGTGGAAACAAAGACACCTACATCTTGGATGCCCTTGAGGTGAGATAAAACACACCAAAAATGTATTTCAAAGTGAACTATCCCTTTAAAATAGAAAAGAGTTATTTTTAAAGTCATAATATTAAACAATATAATAAATGCAGCCTTGCTGAGTAGAAGAGACTTCTTTTAAAAAACAGAAAAAATCTTACCGATCCAAAACTTTTGACTGGTAGTGTAAATTTGATGAATTTTGATGAAATCTGCTGAATTTCTGACTCACTCCGCTCATGGTTGCTGAAGGCCCCTCTGATGGAACCGCCCAGGCGCATCTCTCCGTCCTGCAGGTCTTCCCACTCCAGCTCTCTCACTGGGATCGGCTGCCGGTAGAGCTGATACCACAGCTGCTCATTCTGGGTAATGGCCCGTGTGATCACCAACACGTCCTGAAACAGGAATACGTGCAGCTTCTGCAGAACGAGAGCGTGAGAGAGACTTTGGTTTGTTAAGAATACAATTCTTGAATAAAGTTTGATACACGTTTAATCACTAAGGGTTAGTTCACACAGTTTTAAAAATGTCATCACTCACCCTTATGTCGTTCCAAACCCGTAAGACTTTCATCTTCGCAACACAAATGAAGATAATTGTTTTTTTGCGAAAACACAAACATGCTGCGTAACACGAGAATTAACCTCATTGGCTCTTGCCGAAGTTTAAACGAACTGTGTTACATGGGAATGAACCTGCTCATAGTTGCATAGCTTTCAACGAAATATCCCCATTTGTGTTTCGAAAATGAACAAAAGTCTTACTGGTTTGGAACGACATGAGAGTGAGTAAATGATGGGTAAACTAACCCTTTAAGATGCAGTTTAGCTGTATAGTTGTCATTTTAGCAGTGAAATTATATTATTATAGTTTATTGTTAAAATGTTTCCTTACTATCAAAATCATCCTAGCTAGCGTGGATAGTGTATGCTGCTTTTAATATGTTAAGGAATAACAATATCAAGTTTTAATGCTCAGACTGCAATTATAATCTATATAATATATTTTATGTATTGGGCTTATAAGCTCCATTTAGCCCGATTGTTTCAAAGCCAACTAAACAACAAATCTCCTGAAACGTATTAATTCTTCAATATTCTCATTGTGGGAACAAACTTCCTTAAGGTTAGATACATGAACATGTTCATTCATCAAAATGGGTTAATTACCATAGAGAAGAATAAAACAGTTTCACTGTTTCTGCATTATTTGAGTGGCTCAAATCCTAAGCAAATAGTCATCAATTGTAGAATTGGAGCAGGTGTGAAACACTGAGATGCCTGAACTACAGCAGGAGCAACTGTAATAGGATGTTCTTGGTTCATTTTGGCTCCAACGAACCCACAGTATTTCATTCTCATGTATTTTGTCTTAAACTTAACTTCTCCATTATCTTTGATTTTTCATCCTCATGATTTTTCTTACACTATCTAGTTTACAAGTCAAACCAAACAGACGTTTTATTATACTTTTCAGATTTGATGCCAATATCCTGGAAAGATTTGACTCTTCAGGAATGTCAAGACAAAGATTTTGGGGGTATTTTCTTATGACAAATGACTAAAACACTGCCACAAGTTCTTACGGCTCCTCTGTTGTTCTTGAGCTCTCCGTGACAGCTGAGGATCCGCGAGCTTTCGATCAACAGATCTTTCTGCCCACTTTCCAGATATAGCAAGCGTTCCTTGTAGAAACGGCACTCCGACTCGCCCGTCTGTGTGTTAATATCGGCCACGATGCTCTGGATCATGTTAATCTATGAAAGGCCAAAGAGCAGCACAGAAAAGAGACCATTAGACCACAGGTGTGATTTCAAACCGTGTTTTTCAGATTGTCTTTGGTTCACTTACACATGGTTTGTCTTAAAGCGTATTAAAAACACCACATACACACATAGAGGGGGACTTTCATTATTTTGGTGTAATTATCATTATTAATTATTTTGCACAAATGTTAGCACATTTGTTTAGTTCAATACACACTACTTAGATTTAATGTAAACTAGTACATAAAAAAAACTTTAATTTGAAGGTCCATTGTGTAATATTTCGAATGATCTGTTGACAGAAATGCAATATCATATACATAACAATGTTTTTAGTGGTGTATAAAAACCTTACTTAATGAGCCATTTGTATATAGCTACTAATATTATAGCTATTCATGTCTCGAAGAAAATGATTTTCCCACAAATTTTAAACATTAGGCTTTAAAAAATATAAAAACCTTTCATTTAAGTGAACATAAAACAATCCTCACTCAAACCCATAATAAATGTCATTTACCTGTAGCATACAGAAATTGAATAAGGTTATAAAACAGTCCGCACTGCTAAAATTATAAATGAAAGATTAATCCTTATCAAAGCTACAAGCGTTCTTTAGTCAAGTTAGTTATGTTTTTTTGTCAAGGTTAGTAATTTTCTCTGTTCCTTTAGTTCTCTTTAGGTTAACTTTACTGACAAACAGAATTAATGGCTGCTGTCACTTTAAGATCTGCCGCTGCTGACAGGATCTCACGACGCTATTTACTTCCATGTAAGATTTTATTTGACTCATTTAAGACTGTTCTTATGAGGATGCGCGACAAAACTCACATTTTGGCATGTGTTTGGTGTGTTATTGCTCGTTCAAGCGCGAAAGAGAACTTGATACACACCCCCTGTGTATCAAGTGTGATACACACCGCTGAAAAGTACACACTGCACCTTTAAAGAGTGTGTGTGTGAGAGCAGTGCAGGACTCAGTAACTCACAGCTTCCTCCAGGTGCTGCTGGTCGGGGTGGGCGTTGGGGGTGTGTTTGAGGATCTCTCGGAGCAGCAGCGGGTATTTGACCAGGCGGCTGCGCGGGATGTCCAGGAAGCTCCATAGGTCCAGTTTGCGGCTGAAGGGCGACTCCAGGCAGCGCTGGAGGAAGTCCTGCACCCGAGGGTCCTGCTTCTTATGGTCCAGCAGGGCTTTGGCTGCCACCTGGTTACTGCAGTAGCTGTTGTAGGTGTCCAGACAAGGCAGCTAGTGAGACAGAAAGAGGCATGTTCATGAACAGCCTGTTCATCACTGAGGTTTGGATGCTAATATAAATTACAGTGGTAAGTTTTAATGTAGTTAGCTTTATGTTACTAACTAGCAGTGTAACTAACTACCATTTCACAAGCTAGCTTGACTTAAAGGAGTAGTTCACTTTTGAAAAAACTTTTACTGATAATTTACTCACCCCCATGTCATCCAAGATGTCCATGTCTTTCTTTCCTCAGTCGAAAAGAAATTAAGGTTTTTGATGAAAACATTCCAGGATTTTTCTCCATATAATGGACTTCAATGGGAACCAGACGGTCCGAGGTCCAAACGACAGTTAATAACAGTTTCAGATGCAGCTTCAAATGTCTTTAAACGACACCAGACGATGAATAAGGGTCTTATCATGCGAAACGATCGGTTTTTTCAAAACTTATTCCAAAAATGTAACTTTTCTAAGGACAAATGCTAGCCTATTCTGTGAGGCGCGTTTGTAACGTCACGTAATACGTAATTACGTTCAAAAGGTCACGGGCGACGTAGCCAGAAGTACAGAGTCAGTGTTTACAAGTTGAACGCATAGGTTGAATGTGCAAACTAACTCAAACGCCGTTTACAAAAAAGGAATTAAAAGGTAAAACAATGATGACGGACGATTTTGACTCTGTACTTCTGGCTACGTCGCCCGTGACCTTTTGAACGTAATTACGTATTACGTGACGTTACAAACGCGCCTCAGAGAATATAGCAAGGCTAGCATTTGTCCTTAGAAAAGTTACATTTTTGGAATAAGTTTTGAAATAACTGATCGTTTCGCATGATAAGACCCTTATTCATCGTCTGGTGTCGTTTAAACAGTGGTGGAATGTAACGAAGTACAAATACTTTGTTACTTTACTTAAGTACATTTTTCACGTATCTTTACTTTACTTAAGTAGAATAAATAGTGAATACTTTTTACTTTTACTTCGTTACATTTTGCAGCAATTATTATACTTTCTACTCCACTACATTTCTACAACTTTTCGTTTCGTTTCGTACAACCTTTCCATTTTCGTTACATTTTCTGATCAGTTTTCCCCCTGCCAAAACGTAATCTGACCGTCCGTTCGTTGCACGTTTGTCTCACCAGTGACGTTTGGTTGCCATAGATACATCAACTAAATGCGTCTCACACGCAGTGTGTTTATCGTGCAATTTATACGCGGAAATTAGTTTTTACGTGCATAGGAAACACACCGTGTGTATTTTATTTTTTGCCTCATTTTTTTTTTCTTTTATGGCAAGCAAAGAGGTTCAGAATTACACCATAAATGAATCGCGTCTACTGCCAAACATAGTTATTAACATATGGATAAGCATGGTTTATATTGCCTAATTGCAAGCTTGTTTCAGAAATGGTGACAGCAATTTTTTCCCATCATTATTGAACATCATTATAGGAGTATTGGGTTGAATGAGTTAGAATTAAATGTTTTATTAATCATTAGAAAATAGTCATTAAGAGAATCAATTGTTATGCAAGTACTTTTACTTTTAATACTTAAAGTACATTTAAAATCAGGTACTTTTTACTTTTTACTTAAGTATGGTTGTCATTGTGTTACTTCTACTTTTACTGAAGTAAATATTTATCTGGTTATTTGTACTTTTACTTAAGTACTGAGATTCAGTACTTCCTCCACCACTGCGTTTAAAGACATTTGAAGCTGCATCTGAAACTGTTATTAACTGTCGTTTGGACCTCGGACCGTCTGGTTCCCATTGAAGTCCATTATATGGAGAAAAATCCTGGAATGTTTTCATCAAAAAACCTTAATTTCTTTTCGACTGAAGAAAGAAAGACATGGACATCTTGGATGACATGGGGGTGAGTCGATGCATTCAGACTTAGAGCTGCCGTCTGACTAGCTAGCCAATTATACAGCTGGGAGACATTAGCCACATTTACACAGACTCAAATAATCAGTTAATAGTGGGACTTCATTTATGACCAGATTGAAAGGGTGGCGAAGACCTGAAATGTATATAAAAAAACATATAAAAGTTTTAATCTGCCATTGGCATCATGATTATCACTGATGCTTATGTTTAAGAAATTGCCTATGTTTATTTATGCCTCATGGGAGACTGAATATTTACTAAATATTTGCTAAAATCCCTTCTTGACAAACATCTGCTTACTTTATGACTTTCTCCAGTTATCGATGCGCCTAATGCACATCCTAACGGGTATGTGAATCGGATTGGGGTTCATATTAACAGAAATGTCAGAATCTGAAATCAGGCGAAATCAGCGTCTCTCAGCATTCACAACCATATGAACCCAACTTCCCACTGAGTTCATGGTCTAATGACTAGAAATGAACTAACGTTCTGTGAGATGATATCAGAGCCAGGTAATGTCCCGTGGTCAAGACAGTGACCAATGATCTCAAAATCATAAACCTTTTACATGACGATTGTGGAACCATGGGTTTTTCTGGTTACTCAGCTAAAAGATTAAAAACAAATGTCGGTAACACTTTACAATACTGTATCTTACTTACTGCAGAATTAATAAGGAATTAATGATGAACTAATAGGCATTTTTTCATTAACTACTTCTTCACTACTGTTAAATACTAAGGAAGATGTGTTAACTAATCAGTATGTAATATAATTTTATGATTGTGTTAAGTATCAGTTAGTTAATCAATGTAGTTGATCAGTTAGTTGTTTCAAAGCAGCTTCACAGTGATAACAGGAAAACAATGTTGTAATAGTATTGTTAAATTCAAAATTAAATGTTAAATGTCCCCAACTAAGCAAGCTAAAAGCCAATAGCGACAAAGGCGAAGAGAGGCGAAAAAGGCAACAGTGGCAAGGAATCAAAACCCCATCAGGTGACAGAATGGAGAAAAAAACCTTGGGAGAACCCAGGCTCAGTGTATGTGGCTACCGCGATATTGCCAAAATTTGAATGGAAAAAAGACGTTTAAAATGTATAAGAACTAAGTATATTAATAAGGTGTGATATCCATGATATGTTTTTGCTTATTTGCAGATCATAGCCTATAGGTAAATGTCTGCACTTACTGTATCTTTCTTATTAGCGCTGAAGAATGACAAACTGACTACTGTGTATGACTGTTAATTAGTAGTTACTTCATAGTTATTTTTCTTGAACCTTAATTAATAGATAACTAATAGTAGTTCTTCAGGAGGTATGACAGAATTCATTAGCTATTGATTAACTAACTGACAGTGTTGTAGTCGAGACCACCTCACTCGAGTCCGAGTCGACACCGAGACCAGAGAGAGTCGAGTCCGAGTCAAGACCGAGTCCATAGAGAGTCGAGTCCGAGTCGAGTCCGAGACCAGAGACGGTCGAGTCCGAGTCGAGACCGAGACCAGTGAGGGTTGATTACCTAATTTACTTTTATTTACTTAGAGAAATCCTGTTTTTTTTTACTGAATTTACTTAGAGTTTAAAAAATATGATCAGTTTAGGGTAAAACGGCCACATAGTAGGTGGTGTTAAAAGTAATTTTATTACAATTTGTCATGCGCAGTTGCGCACTAGACAATCACCAATCACTGGGCGTGTCAATCAATTTAAAGAAATATTTTATTCACATACATTAATAATCATGAAAAATATTTTTAATTGAACTCGAGTGGACTCGGGAATAATTCCGAGTCCTAAAAAAAAAATGCTCGAGTACGAGTCAATTCCGAGTCCAAATGGACACGAGTCCATGGTACTACAACACTGCTAACTGATACTTAACACAATCATAAAATTATATTACATACTGATTAGTTAACACATCTTCCTCAGTAGTTAACAGTAGTGACGTAAGTGTTAATAAAGAATTAACTATTAGGTCTTCATTAATTCCTTATTAGTTATGTAGTAAGTAAGATACAGTATTCTAAAGTGTTACCATGTCGGTTGTTATATAGAATAATACAAATGTGCAGAATTTATTCATGGGACTACACATTATTGGCCAATGATGAGAGAAATGTTTTGGAACAAAAGCAGAAAGAGACACAACGCAGGGTTGTAATCTTACCCAGTCCACTAGAATATGGCCCACGCGATCGGTCGAGCCATCCGGCTTCCTGGCCTCTCGCAGCCGACTCAGCAGATCTGCAGGATCAGAGAAAGACAGCGTGGGTGTTCACTGAGGAAGGAGCGGTCTACATCAGGTCTGGGGGGCCACCGTACTGCAGAGTGTAGCTCCAGCTCCAGCTAGCCAGGGTCTTCGATCAGGGCTGGAGCCAAACTCTGCAGGACAGCAGGTCTATAGCACATGTTTTCAATCAAAGTATTGTTTCTAGTCATTCAGGGAAAAGACACAGTCTCTGTGTTAGGTTGACTTATAAGTGTGAATTGATCTACATTTATGTTTGTTAGCTGCTTCTTTAGCAGTTCAGGTGGAGGATAACAGCTCCAGAAAGGAGCGGAGGAGGAGAAGGTTCTTTCCATACACCTGTTTTTAGGATATTGAATAGAAATAAAGCCGGATGAGCATAAATTCTAAAAAGGTACATAAAAACTTTTCATCGGAGGAGAAAATGTGCAAAAACTACGATGGAAAGACATTTACTGAATTAATCTCTCAAAGCGCAACAATAAACTCAGCGGAGGCTGTGATTGGATAACTGGAGTAACCAGCGGACCAATGGCATCGCAGCTTCTCAGATGCTGGTTTGGTGTTTCTGAAACGAAATAGGCCCATCTGAGAATGGCATGGGTCTCGCTTTCTCGTAAACTTCAGCAGAACCACAGCCTTCATCCAAAACGCAGTGGTCGGAAAGGTCACCGCGTAATGCAACTTGTTTAAGGGAAGTGTCTGAGCTAATGGAAGCTATGAACATTTCAAATGTATTATTGAGCCTTTCCTCCTCAGCTATTTGAGCTAATCACATGCACGAGGGACCTCATATCTTTTAATCACTTGTTATTGTTGAAAACTTCTCCACAACAGCGGTCTTATGCAAGCGTGTTGGAAACAGCTCTTTTTTACAACAGCGGTCTTATGCAAGTATGCTACTTATTATAGATAATTAGATGCTTTTAGTGCGCTTAGAGGGAACAAAAGCCAGCTGCATGAAAAGACTATATAAGAGGAAGAAAAAGAGACGTTCTCTGCTCTTCCTTGACACACCAGCAGTATCAGGGGCAAGAAGCGTCAAGCCTAGTTAATATCTATCTGTTAGTTAGTACTCATTTATGATCTGTAACAAGCATTCCTTTTTCATTTGATTATTTTAATACATTTTGTAGCATTTATTATAATCATCTGACTGGACCTTGGATCATTGAGTGCGAGTCACCGGGCCGGGAGGACCCTTCCTGAAGAGATCGACATTCATTTGACAAGATAAGAACAATCACTGTGATAATTCATTGATCAAACAGCCTAGCCAAAGAGGCAGCATATAACATGTATACACGTTTAGGATATATGTATGACAAGTTTTTATAGAGAGCCTAAGTCCCTCCCCTTCCGGTCGACCATGGGACCTTATTTCGGAAAAAACATTGTATGGTAGTCAATAGCGAGAGACAACAAATATTTTGATCTCGTTTGAATTGTGCCCTGAATTACACATTGATAAAGATAGATACATTGTAAAGTAAAGAAAGTCAAACTACGTAATTACAAAGACTACAAACCCCAAAGGCGCACATTTTCTCTCAATGAATGAAGCTAACTTTACTGAGGCTAATGTCTGTCATTGTTTCTATAGTCTTACGTTATAATCGTAACATTATGCCGTCATTGTACCAGACTGCACACACACGAGCAGCGGATCTTGCTTTTTGCTTCCCGGGACGGGAGATGTAGTTCATTGAGCGATTTTCACATAAAACTAAATGTACTCTTCTGTTTTATGACAAACTGCAACTTTCAGAATTATCTTATGTGTAATTCAGGGCACAGTTCAGATGGAATAAAAAGAAAAGTTGTCTCTCGCCATAGACTACCACACATATTTTTTCCGAAATAAGGTCCCATGAGCTGGAAGCGGAGGGGCGGGACATAGGCTCTCTATAGTGCGAACACGGTTGAAGAGTCCCACAAAAAGGTAGACTTATAATATAAAGGGGAAATCTATTATTTCTATAATACAATACAAATGTATAGTCTGATCTCCTAACTCTTGAGGACATGACTAAAGAATAGGTTCTTTAGTTACCGCGGGATTATATTAATATTCTGGACAGGATATTTAATAATTTGGAACAGTATTGATCGTGAAAATCCATCGCAGAGCCAAAGTCTGTGATCAGGATGATCTCACACGAGTGTGTTCAGCATCCCAACGCAAGAGATCATGACAGAGTTTATTCACAAATGTTTTATGCCATATTCCAGTTTTGCACATAGCAGGTTAAATTCCCAACTTTGGATGGAAGCATGGATATTGTGTCGGAACAGCGAGTCCGGATCTGATTTTAGATGCTCCGGCATTTATTTGTGTGATCTTCTGTGATGTCACCTCACCTAATAACATAATTTAAACTTAAATCAATATTCCATGTTTTTGTGTTATCACGATTGGCTTTATCACTTGGGTTCTGATTTGCTGTTATTGGGTCAGGTCGCACAGCTTTTCTCCTTCCCTTTGGATAAGCATATCCAGCTGTGAATGTACAGCACGGCGCCTGGTTCAGACACACACTGATGGTGTGTGTAATGCTCTTTTGCTCACCTTCATGCAGGGGAATGAGGGAGTCCAGCGTGCCAAAGATCTGATTGAGTTCATGCTCCGCCATAATCGACAGCTTCAGCATGGGGTCACGATACGCCTGTGGCGAAATAACACAATCAGACACTTAAACACTCAAATCTGAGAAAGTATGTGGAAATCTTACCGAAAAGTGTAAAGCTAAGAACAGATTGTCAAAACAGACACCACAGTATCTCATATGCTAGGGCAGGGCTTCCGAAATCAGAGTTGATTAAAAGCCAATTATCACTTAAATAATGAAATGTAGAATGTGCTTAATTATGGAAATATTAGGTAGGTAAAATATTTTATGTCAAAGACGTTGATTTGAGAAGGTTTGGGAACCACTGTGCTGGAGAACCAGAGTCTTCATGCTGTATGAAGTGATGGGGCAAGTGAAGTGTACCTTCTTGGCCAGCTTCAAGTCCTCAATCAGGTCCTGTTCTCCCTGAGACAGCTCAAAGATGGACTGACAAACATGACAGGAAAGACAACAGAAAGAGGAACTTAAGCGAGAAGCATCTCGAGGACATTCTGGTTATTTACCCGTTTATACGTCATATTCATGCTTGATTATGCCTGTTAACCTTCACTGAACATTTAATTGTTCTACGGTAATTTATCTTTGATGTAACAGCACGACACACATCTCGAGCCGCTCCAGTGCAGCGGTACGGCACATGACGCTTTCCTGTGATAATGTAGGGATACACTTGATATACATAAATCAGCTAACAGTTCATGTTTTATGAGAATACTGGAACGGTTATGTTTAATACTCTATTGATGGTTTTCTAAACCAGTCTTTTAGCTCAAATATGGTGAGAAATACAGTATATCAAAATCCAGCCCTGACCAATCAGAGTAGAGTATGGTCTGGAGTGTGGTGAGGTCACCTCTTGTCTCTTGATGTCTCTGGAGGACAGCATGTGTCCCAGGCCCAGGTCAAACGTCTCGCTCCACAGCTTGCTGTCACGGCGCTTGGTGGCGGCTGGCGGGATCTGCCGCGGGGCCATGATCTCCGGGCGGCAGTCACTGCGGAAACTGATGGAGCGCTGAACAGGGAGAATGGGAAAACTGGGAATTAGCGATGTACAGTGGAAAACGTCAGCTGTTGTTTAGAACGACCCGTGGTTTAGAACGACCCGTGGTTTGGAACGACCCGTGGTTTAGAACAACCGGGGGTTTATAACGACCCGGGGTTTATAACGACCCAGGGTTTAGAACGGCCGGGGTTGAGAACGACCCAGAGTTTAGAACGACGCGGTGTTTAGAAAGAGCCGGGGTTTAGAGCGACCCGGAGTTTAGAACGACCCGGGATTTAGAACGACCCGGGGGTTAGAACGACCCGGGGTTTAGAACGACCGGGGTTTAGAACGACCCGGGGTTTAGAACGACGCAGTGTTTAGAAAGAGCCGGAGTTTAGAGCGACCCGGGGTTTAGAACGGCCCGGAGTTTAGAACGACCCGGGGTTTAGAACGACCCGGGGTTTAGAACGACCCGGGGTTTAGAACGACCCGGGGTTTAGAACGACCGGGGGTTTAGACCGACCGGGGGTTTAGACCGACCGGGGGTTTAGAAAGACCCAGGGGCTTAGAACGACCCGGGGTTTAGAACGACCAGGGGTTTAGAACGACCAGGGGTTTAGAACGACCCGGGGTTTAGAACTGCCGAGGTTTAGAACTGCCGAGGTTTAGAACGACCCGGGGTTTAGAACGGCCAGGGTTTAGAACAACCCGGGGTTTAGAACGACCAGGGGTTTAGACCAACCGGGGGTTTAGAACGACCCAGGGGCTTAGAACGACCTAGGGTTTAGAACGGCCGAGGTTTAGAACGACCCGGGGTTTAGAACGACCGGGGGTTTAGACCGACCGGGGGTTTAGAATGACCCAGGGGTTTAGAACGACCCGGGGTTTAGAACAACCCGGGGTTTAGAACGACCCGGGGTTTAGAACGACCAGGGGTTTAGACCGACCGGGGGTTTAGAACGACCCAGGGGCTTAGAACGACCCGGGGTTTAGAACGACCGGGGGTTTAGAACGACCGGGGTTTAGAACAACCCGGGGTTTAGAACGACCCGGGGTTTAGAACGACCGGGGGTTTAGACCGACCGGGGGTTTAGAACGACCCAGGGGCTTAGCACGACCTAGGGTTTAGAACGGCCGAGGTTTAGAACGACCCGGGGTTTAGAACGACCGGGGGTTTAGACCGACCGGGGGTTTAGAACGACCCAGGGGTTAGAACGACCCGGGGTTTAGAACGACCGGGGTTTAGAACGACCCAGGGGTTTAGAACGACCCGGGGTTTAGAACAACCCGAGGTTTAGAACGGCAGGGGTTTAGAACGACCCGGGGTTTAGAACTGCCGGTGTTTAGAACAACCGGGGGTTTAGACCGACCGGGGGTTTAGAACGGCCGAGGTTTAGAACAACCCGGGGTTTAGAACGACCGGGGGTTTAGACCGACCAGGGGTTTAGAACGACCCAGGGGTTTAGAACGACCCGGGGTTTAGAACGACCTAGGGTTTAGAACGGCCGGGGTTTAGAACGACCTAGGCTTTAGAACGGCCGGGGTTTAGAACGGCCGGGGTTTAGAACGGCCGGGGTTTAGAACAACCCGAGGTTTAGAACGGCAGGGGGTTTAGAACGACCGGGGTTTAGAACGACCCAGGGTTAACTAGTTCAAGCATGGAATGCTCCATTGTTGTGTTGTTTTTATGTATTACTTGTCAGGTGTGATATGTGTATCATCTGCGATAAAATTGTAATTATTTTTTAGCGTTGTGGAAGTTATCAAGTAGGTCACTGGCTTTTCAAAAAAAAAAAAAAAAACAAACAAAACACACAGTGAGTGTGAGGCTTTCACTGCCTGATGTAACTATAATGCTGTTAAAATTACACCAAAGTGTAATATATACTTGACTGTTTTCCCCACGCAAGTCCAGTCTTACATCAAAAGATATAGTTAAGCAATATCACAAGTGCAAGTGCACAAGAGCAAAAGTGCAGTTTGACTTGAAAATGAGTTTGCATTATTTTGTCAATAAAATTCCAAACAAAAGCACAGCAGAACAGATCTGCATCTCCGAGCAACACATAACACAACTTTGTTACTGAACAGAGTCTGCCTTGAGCAAATCAGTTTCATCAATGATTCACTTACCAAATTAATCAGTCATTTAAACGAATCACGACTAAGCCACGACTGCATCTTCTGCAGTGCAATGATGGATTTGTGTTTATACTGCTTTCATTATATTGGTATCAGTGTCTTATTATTCTAAATGAGTGAGACTAAGAAAATTATAAAGATAAACTTTTATTACAATAGCATATATCCTAAAGAGCCTAAATCAGATGAAGAGTGAGTGCGGGAGAGCAGTACCTGCAGGGTCTGTCCGATGCGCTTCAGTGGAGCCGCTTTAACTGGAGGAATGAGGCTCGCCAGAGACGTCACTCGAGACAGAGGCTTCACACGCTTCGTGCTGGGCTCCTGCACACACACACACACACACACACACACACACTGATGAACACCTCACACCTGTGCTGGGCTCCTGCACACACATACACACACTGTGATGTGAGGCAGAGCTGTCTACACTGGGATGGACAGGTTTCTGCGAGTCTTTGGCTTCCGGAGACGTCTCTGACTCACTCTGACACCAGTGCTGAGAGACATGATAGGGTGAAACACACTCACTCTGTGCACGTGTGTGAAATAAAGGCTTCAAGCTACAGAAAAACTCGATGAGCTGTCTGTCTGTGATAATGATCCATCAGTCATATGTGCCGGCGGTTGAGCAACGAGATCCTGTCCTTCAGCCACACGGTCCACAAGTCTGAATCAGTGTTTTAAACCTCATAACTGAGCAGTAACTACAGCAAACAAACAGAATTACTCAAAACGCACAAATAAAATAGGCCTTTCAACATTTCAGTCCCTCACAGAGATGATCAAGCCCAATCTGGGGGATTTAAAACCCTTCAACTACCTCACACACGGGGTCAGACAACACTCAACCCTGAAATATTCTGCATGCACTCTGACTACTGACAAAGCAAAATCATAATAGACCGACCCAAAAATGGCATTTTTAACAATCTCGATCCTTTCAATCTTGAGAAACAAGAATGTGCACCTTGAAATCAGCAACCCCCAGTGTTAAAGAAGAGTGTGTGTGTGGAGTACTGGTCAACACTGGGGGTCTGCTCAAGGTCAGGGTTTCGAGGAGCTATGGGACACTTTTGAGCTGAGATGTGGAGGCTTCTGTAAACGGCCATAACCACAACCTTTAATGGGCCATGACACGAAAAAGACAAAATCAACAGGTGGTTTTAGCCCAATGCTCATTCATTACAATCTAAACTCTTACAGCACTAACAAAACTTCTAGACTATCAAACTACCAAGATTCAGGACCGAAATTATGAAGAACATGCAAAACATGAAGCACTGTTATCATCAAAGCTTTCAGTGTGTGTTCATTGACAATCCAACACAATCAGCACTGGCTTTTGGAGAACACACACACTCTCTCTCTCTCTCTCTCTCTCTCTCTCTCTCTCTCTCTCTTTTACTCTCTGACACAATATGTGTGTGTTTCAATGCCTAATCCGGCCGGATACATGAAGAATATGGCCAAACCTTCAGTACTGGTGCATCCCTGCACTATAATATTTCATGCTTTCTATATGCACCGAGTATATGTATAAATAAACCCCAGCCAGCATATATGATCTGATCATGCCTCCCAGGCAGACGTGTGTCCTGGATTTGTCCTGGATCAATGTCCATGTGTCCCGCTTCATTAGGTGATTACAGTGGTGGATTAGTGTATCTCCTAGTAAGTAATATCTTCTACAAAGCAAAATCCCCAGCGTTAAATCAACACTGAAAGTGTGACTCATCTAAACTTAAATGAACACTGAAGCAGTGTTAAAGTTAATGAGATAATTAAGTGATTGAGTATTATTGAAGACACCTGAAGGTGTCATCTTTTCTATTTATTCATCTGGCTGTTATAACTCATATACAGCAGCCAAACAAAATCTAAAGTTAACGATTTAAGGGTCAAGAGCCCAACTAAAGTGAACACTGATCACCATAATGATGACTTAAAATTACGGTTTTCTCCTTCCGTGATTCTGCTTGGTAAGTGTCTTACTCAATGAATCACTCAATTAATCACTTAATTATCTCATGAACTTTAACACTGCTTCAGTGTTCATTAACACTCTGCTCAGAGTTTATATACAGTAATTCACACTCTCAGTGTTAATTTAACACTCACTCTGGCAAGGGTTAAAATGCTGCCTCAAAGGCCCCCTAAAATAAAACTTTACGTTTTTTAGCTCTTAGTATGAATATGTTAGGTTATGAATAAACCCCATTTACACTGCATGGTTCAAGTGACCCAAATCCGATTTTTTCCTCTCATGTGGCACAGATCGGATATGTATGGAAGCTTGTTTCCGCCACTGAATAAAAAAATAAAGTAAATAATTGCGACTTTTTATCTCACAATTCTGACTTTTTTTCTCACAATTGCGAGATAAAAAGTCAGAATTGCGTGATATAAAGTCGCAATTGCGTGATATAAAGTCAGAATTGCGAGATATAAAGTCAGAATTGCGTAATATAAAGTCAGAATTGCGAGATATGAAGTCAGAATTGCGAGTTATAAAGTCAGAATTGCAAGATATGAAGTCAGAATTGCGAGTTATAAAGTCAGAATTGCAAGATATAAAGTCAGAATTGCGAGATATAAAGTCAGAATTGCGAGATATAAAGTCAGAATTGCGTGATATAAAGTAAAAAATTGCGAGATATAAAGTCAGAATTGCGTAATATAAAGTCAGAATTGCGAGATATAAAGTCAGAATTGCGTGATATAAAGTCAGAATTGCGAGATATAAAGTCAGAATTGCCAGATATAAAGTCAGAATTGCGTGATATAAAGTCAGAATTGCGAGATATAAAGTCAGAATTGCGAGATATGAAGTCAGAATTGCGAGTTATAAAGTCAGAATTGCGAGTTATAAAGTCAGAATTGCGAGATATAAAGTCAGAATTGCGTGATATAAAGTCAGAACTGCAAGATATAAAGTCAGAATTGCGTAATATAAAGTCAGAATTGCGTGATATAAAGTCAGAATTGGGAGATATAAAGTCAGAATTGCGAGATATAAAGTCAGAATTGCGAGATATAAAGTCATAATTGCGAGATATAAAGTCAGAATTGCGAGATATAAAGTCAGAATTGCGTAATATAAAGTCAGAATTGCGAGATATAGTCAGAATTGCGTGATATAAAGTCAGAATTGCGAGATATAAAGTCAGAATTGCGAGATATAAAGTCAGAATTGCGAGATATAAAGTCAGAATTGCGTAATATAAAGTCAGAATTGCGAGATATAAAGTCAGAATTGCGAGTTATAAAGTCAGAATTGCAAGATATAAAGTCAGAATTGCGAGTTATAAAGTCAGAATTGCGAAATATAAAGTCAGAATTGCGAGATATAAAGTCGCAATTGCGTGTTATAAAGTCAGAAATGCATGATATAAAGTCAGAATTGTGAGATTTAAACTATTCTGAGGGGGAAAAAAAGTTAGTCTTTTTTCCCCCTTAGAATTGGCCTAATAAGTCGCAATTGCGAGTTTATATCTCACAACTCTGAGAAAAGATGTCAGAATTTCGACATATAAACTCGCAATTATGTGTTATAAAGTCAGAATTGCGAGATGTAAACTCGCAATTGTGAGAAAAAAAAGTCACACTTCTGTCTTTTTCTCAGAATTGTGACTTTATATCACGCAATTCTGACTTTATATCTCGCAATTCTGACTTTATATCTCGCAATTCTGACTTTACAACTCGCAATTGCGACTTTATATCACACAATTCTGAGAAATAAAGTCAGAATTGTGAGATATAAACTCGCAATTGTGAGAAAAAAAGTCAGAATTGTGAGATGCATGTCATTAAAAAAGTGACGTCAACTCAGAGGGACACCACCAACTGAGATCACATGACTTAATATAGGCGCGATGGAGGATGAAGGATACACAGTGGAGCAATGCGGAGGTTTCATGTGTTTTGAGTGTTTGGGATGAAGAGTGCAGGCAAAAACGCAGGGTTGTTACAGAAATAAATCCGTATTTGAAGACATTTCACGTGATATGGAGGCACGGTTTACAGCGCTCGTGGCCACAGTGGCAACAAGGGCTCTCCTCTTTTTCTTCGCCATACCAGACCGATGTTTTGATGACCTTTTTCATGACTTTTCAAAATATTTTGGAAAGAAAAACACTGGATAATTTAAATCTGCATCACTTGCATTTTATGCTGTTTTTCTTCATTTCCCGGGTCAGAACGTCTACATTTGGTTGGTTCAGTTTTACCTTTCACTAAACATATTTAGATATATCGAAATCGTTTTCCATTGCGATTTCCTGTATATCTTAATACGTTTAGTGAAAGGTAAAACTTCCGAAATCTCCGTGTAAACAATGCGTGAGAGATCACTTCCGGCGTAACGTCTGGACACGGTTCAGTACGGTTCAGTTGGACATCTGATTCAGATCAGTTCGACATGGGTGTTAAAAAGAGGTAAAAAGAGGTTCTCACACAAACCGCTCATTTCGTGTCTTAGGCCATCAGTGTGTACTTACATCGAGTCATTAAATCATGTTTAATTTGGACTTCTCTGTGCATGCTCTTTGAGGTGGTGACCATAGACCTCCATTATATATGACAGACAAGAACGGTTTGACCTAAAAATATCAAAATTGAAAATACTGCAGAAACAAAGTAGTAGGCCTAGACTAGTGTTGCACTTTACAGTATTTTCCTTTTTGAAGTGATTCCAATCATATTTTAAGCTATTCAGAAGTGTGTCAGCTGAAGGAAATAATCCATTATTTATCGACTTTAATATATCGGACAGATTTTTTCTTTTTATTGGGCCAATTTCGATAACATTAAAAATGAACATATATCGGCCGATACCGATATGGTGGCCGATATATTGTGCATGGCATCTTTAGAAGCTGGCCAACAGCTTCCTTTGGTAACAGCTTTCATGTGTGTGTGATGCTGCAGAACGCTATCTAGGAAGGCAGACCACTTGCTTTTAGAACAAAGTAAATGACTTAAAGAACTAATATTATTACTGCATCCATAACACTAAAAGCAGTTCTCATGGATGCCAGAAGATCAGACATGGGTTCCAGACTCAGCCAAAGAGAAGCTGCAGATGTGTTCACAGGAGCTTCTGTAATTAAGATGAAAGCATGAGGAGTGATGGGTCGTCTGATGTGTTCTGGGAGAGAGACTCGCTTCTGTGGGAAAGCAAGCGCTATTCACTGATGATCAGGGTGCAACGCCACCGACGCGGAAATATCCCCCGGCTGACACTAAATCAAGGATAAAAAATGTCCTGAGAGGAATCCTGCAGTTTGTACTGTAATTCTGAAGAGTTTTAACATCAATTATTCATTACAATACTGATGATCTATAAAGTAAAATGTAACTCTCAAATGCCCCTTTTCCACCAAAGCATTTTGAGAGCCGGTTCGGAGCCGGTGCCTGCGCGCGAACCAGTTCTTTGTGTTTCGACAGCCAAAGAACCGGTTCTCGGCCAGGAGAACTGGTTCCAAAGCGGCACCAACTCTTTGCTGGACTAGAATTACTAGAAATATGATTTCACATCATATAGATGTATGAGTAAAACAGCTTTCCTTTTCTGCAGAGACGACAGCTTAAAGGGCAGAGGATATTTCTTTTCAACCTAGCAGCTGAAAGTGGGACACATTTACACCTACTCGCTCATTTATTTATTATTCTGTGATGTTTCTTCCCTGTGTTGATGCATTACCTATGAATTTTAATCGCTTATATCTATTAAATGATTATTGAGCACCCACAAAGCCAAAGCGGCAAGCACATTCTGACATCATTCTGCCCTTATTATGCTTTTGTAGTGTGTAATAGAGCTGTTTGTGAATGTAAAAGCTCTGCAAAGTTTTAAAGATCAGAGTGTAGATAAGATTAAGATACTCCCTAAAAGAAAGAATCCATTCTGAACTGCTCAAACGAGTTGTCAGGAATTCCAGTCTTATTTCCGTAACTTTCATACGTAACAATACAACAAATTTGTCTTCATCAGCTATCAGAGAGCGAATGAGTCACCTGCACTGATTCAGTGAGCGAAAGAGTCACCTGCACTGATTCAGTGAGCGAATGAGTCACCTGCACTGATTCAGTGAGCGAATGATTTATTTGCACTGATTCAGTGAGCGAATGAGTCATCTGCACTGATTCAGTGAGCGAATAAGTCACCTGTACTGATTCAGTGAGCGAATGAGTCACGCACTGATTCAGTGAGCGAATGAGTCACTTGCACTGCACTGATTCTGAGAGCAAATGAGTCAACTGCACTGCACTGATTCAGTGAGCGAATGAGTCACCTGCACTGCACTGATTCAGTGAGAGAATGAGTCACCTGCACTGCACTGATTCAGTGAGAGAATGAGTCACTAGAAATATCCTCTGCCCTTTAAGCTGTCGTCTCTGCAGAAAAGGAAAGCTGTTTTACTCATACATCTATATGATGTGAAATCATATTTCTAGTAATTCTAGTCCAGCAAAGAGTTGGTGCCGCTTTGGAACCAGTTCTCCTGGCCGAGAACCGGTTCTTTGGCTGTCGAAACACAAAGAACTGGTTCGCGCGCAGGCACCGGCTCCGAACCGGCTCTCAAAATGCTTTGATTCAGTGAGAGAATGAGTCACCAGCACTGATTCAGTGAGCAAATTAGTCACCTGCACTTATTCTGTGAGCGAATGAGTCACCTGCACTGATTCAGTGAGCGAATGAGTCACCTGCACTGATTCAGTGAGCGATTAAGTCACCTGCACTGCACTGATTCAGTGAGAGAATGAGTCACCTGCACTGATTCAGTGAGCGAATGAGTCACCTGCACTGATTCAGTGAGCGAATGAGTCACCTGCACTGATTCAGAGAGCGAATGAGTCACCTGCACTGATTCAGTGAGCGAATGAGTCACCTGCACTCATTCAGTGAGCGAATAAGTCACCTGTACTCATTCAGTGAGCAAATGAGTCACCTGCACTGATTCAGTGAGCAAATGAGTCACCTGCACTGATTCAGTGAGCGAATGAGTCACCTGCACTGATTCAGTGAGCGAATGAGTCACCTGCACTAATTCAGTGAGCGAATGAGTCACCTGCACTGCACTGATTCAGTGAGTGAATGAGTCACCTGCACTACACTGATTCAGTGAGTGAATGAGTCACCTGCACTGCACTGATTTAGTGAGTGAATGAGTCACCTGCACTGATTTAAAGAGTTTGATTGATTCAGTCTATGATTCAGACCAAGGACTACAAGACAGTCTGATTCACCAGTTGAAAGATTTATTTCAAAACAACAACAAAAACCACCCAAATTGAGCACATTGCGCTGTAAGTGCAGTCAGCAGGGCAACAGAAAGTTTATATTCATAATCACATGCCCAAAACACCACAGACCATGGCTTTCCGGTCATTTTTTAATTTCATGTTTCCAGTCATTCTTATCACAACCAGACTCTCTATCTGCTATAGCTGACTTCACACTAAAATCATGTGTGTATAACTCAAAAACAAACTACAAACAACAGGAGAAGAAGATAAAGATATATCAGCACAGCAAATTGTGATGTCTCGACAGGCATGCAGTTAGCTGACGCGTCAGGACACACAACGCAGCAAAAACATGAGCAGAATTGCTGTAGAAAAACCTCAGAAACACATCAGAAGCCAAACACGTACACGTCTCTGAGAATGAACTCATCTACTTCAAACATTGGGGTACTTCAGTCAGCTCAATGTGATCATGAACACGGCGATCTCAGGAGTCAAGACTCAGCTCAGGGAATCACAAGCAAGGTTCGCACCATCAACAAATGACTTAATAATAATAAACCTGCTTTTAAAGTTATCATGGTCTTAACAACGTTCTCAAAATGTTAGCACAAAAACGTTTTACAGTACTACATAATTCATGAATGATTTTCTGATACATTGTAATTCTGTGTTAGTCTAACTTTATATAATAATAATAATAATAATAATAATAATACGTTTAATTAGCGTCTTTCCCAAGCTCAAGGACGCTTCACAATGCAGAACACATAAACGGACATTTGGACATATGTTGCTAGTCTAACACTACTTTAAGATCGTTCAGAGAACATTATTATTCAAGCATCTCTCTCATAATGTTTGCAAATGTAAACAAAACAACTTTTAAGAAACCACAACAATGCAAGATGGAGACTATTGGCTAAGTTTTATTATTCACCATGAATAAAAATGCTTGCTCATGAATAACGTAGGCTATGTTCGCATTATTATTATGGTTATATAATTACTCTGAATTTATATTTTATAATTAGCGTCATTCACAGCATTAAAATAACTGTACCTCCAGCTCTCTGCGCGCGCCCCGGCCGCGGGCGCTCGGCTCGTCCACGCTGCAGGTCGCGCGTCTGATCATCAGGTGTATCGGGTCATCCTTCGCCACCATGCTGACGCCCCGCGGAGAGTCGCACGCGATGCACGCCCGCCCGCTCTGCGGAGCGCGGACTACAGCGGCATCCCGAGCGAAAGAGACTCCTGCATCTGTGTGTGTGTGTGCGTGTGTGTGAGAGTGTGTGTCATCACATCAGCGAGAGCTGGTAAACTTCCACTCCAGCTGCGCGCGCAGCGTGAACGATCTCTTACTCAAACCGCATCCGGGATCTGATGATAAACTGCTGGTCGAGAAGGAGCTCAATAAACCACTGGAAATTTATATATTCTCCATTAACGTCAACTGCAAACAATAGGTCTCCTTGACGGGATAGGTGATAGGCTATGAGATAAACCTATAGAAGCAGCAGAGTGAGACTTTTTTATATAGCCTATAGGCTACAGGTGAAACTGGTTTAGAATATTCATCATTTCAGTAATTCATCTTGAAAGTTGAAACTAATATATATAGTGTTATATAGACTCATTACATGCAAAGTGTGATATTTCGGGCCTTTATTTGTTATAATTTTGATTATTATAGCTTACAGCTATGAAAACATTTTCACAATATTACTAATTATAACAAAGAAAGGCTTGAAATATCTCATTTCGCATGCAAGGAGTCTATATGGTTATATTATTTTCACCTTTTAAGTTGAATTACTGAAATAAATGAACTTTTGCACGATATTCTAATTTTTCCAGTTTCACCTGTAAACTAGATAATTAATAAACCAACCATAAAGACTAACCATAATGCTGCATGCAAATATTATAATTGTTAATGAATGCTATATTTTTGAATGCTGAGGTCAGTGGCCTGGGAGATTTACACACTTTATATTTTACAAACCCAATTCCATAAAAGTTGGGACACTGTACAAATTGTGAATAAAAACAGAATGCAATGATGTGGAAGTTTCAAATTTCAATAATATATTTAGAATACAACATAGATGACATATCAAATGTTGAAAGTGAGACATTTTGAATTGCCATGCCAAATATTGGCTCCTTTTGGATTTCATGAGAGCTACAAATTCCAAAAAAGTTGGGACGGGTAGCAATAAGAGGCCAGAAAAGTTAAATGTACATATAAGGAACTGCTGGAGGACCAATTTGCAACTTATTAGGTCAATTGGCAACATGATTGGGTATAAAAAGAGCCTCTCAGAGTGGCAGTGTCTCTCAGAAGTCAAGATGGGCAGAGGATCACCAATTCCCCCAATGCTGAGGCAAAAATAGTGGAGCAATATCAGAAAGGAGTTTCTCAGAGAAAAATTGCAAAGAGTTTGAAGTTATCATCATTAACAGTGCATAATATCATCCAAAGATTCAGAGAATCTGGAACAATCTCTGTGCATAAGGGTCAAGGCCGGAAAACCATACTGAATGCCCGTGATCTTCTGGCCCTTAGACGGCACTGCATCACACACAGGAATGCTACTGTAATGGAAATCACAACATGGGCTCAAGAATACTTCCAGAAAACATTGTCAGTGAACACAATCCACCGTGCCATTCACCGTTGCCGGCTAAAGCTCTATAGGTCAAAAAAGAAGCCATATCTAAACGGGAACCAGAAGCGCAGGCGTTTTCTCTGGGCCAAGGCTCATTTAAAGTGGACTCTAGCAAAGTGGAAAACTGTTCTGTGGTCAGACGAATCAAAATTTGAAGTTCTTTTTGGAAAACTGGGACGCCATGTCATCCGGACTAAAGAGGACAAGGACAACCCAAGTTGTTATCAGCGCTCAGTTCAGAAGCCTGCATCTCTGATGGTATGGGGTTGCATGAGTGCGTGTGGCATGGGCAGCTTACACATCTGGAAAGGCACCATCAATGCTGAAAGGTATATCCAAGTTCTAGAACAACATATGCTCCCATCCAGACATCGTCTCTTTCAGGGAAGACCTTGTATTTTCCAACAAGACAATGCCAAACCACATACTGCATCAATTACAACATCATGGCTGCGTAGAAGAAGGATCCGGGTACTGAAATGGCCAGCCTGCAGTCCAGATCTTTCACCCATAGAAAACATTTGGCGCATCATAAAGAGGAAGATGCAACAAAGAAGACCTAAGACAGTTGAGCAGCTAGAAGCCTTTATTAGACAAGAATGGGACAACATTCCTATTCCTAAACTTGAGCAACTTGTCTCCTCAGTCCCCAGACGTTTGCAGACTGTTATTAAAAGAAGAGGGGATGCCACACAGTGGTAAAAATGGCCTTGTCCCAACTTTTTTGAGATGTGTTGATGCCATGAAATTTAAAATCAACTTATGTTTCCCTTAAAATTATGCATTTTCTCAGTTTAAACATTTGATAGGTCATCTATGTTGTATTCTAAATATAATATTGAAATTTGAAACTTCCACATCATTGCATTCTGTTTTTATTCACAATTTGTACAGTGTCCCAACTTTTATGGAATTGGGTTTGTAAATGTAAACTTTGTTTTACTGTCTATGATGATGATATTTGGGGGTCTGTGGCATCTTGAAAGGCAAGGGAGTCCCCCATAACCATGTCACCTGTTTCAGGCTCAGTGTGAGCGGTGTCTGAGGCTGATCTGGGGTCAGCGTGCTGTAGGGTTCAGTGAATAAGCAGTGTTCAGTGAGTCTGTTTCAGGCTCAGTGTGAGCGGTGTCTAAGGCTGATCTGGGTTCAGTCAGTGTCCAGTAGGGTTCAGTGAATAATTAGTGCTCAGTGAGTCTGTTTCAGGCTCAGTGTGAGCAGTGTCTGAGGCTGATCTGGGGTCAGTGTGCAGTACGGTTCAGTGAATAAGCAGTGTTCAGTGAGTCTGTTTCAGTTAGCATGAGCAGGAAAACAGGCCCGGATCCACAGGCTTGGTTGGGTTCCTGTGATTGTGCTGCTGTCAGTCATGAGGAGATGCAGAAAGCTCAGCTGAACCGTAGCCAAAGCACTGATGGTGAACTAACACATGCCTTTCATGTTCACTCAACGAGGTGCACCTCCTCCAGCTGACCTCGGGGCAGTTCACCGGTCCACCACAGCTTCTGCACTTTGATACAATCTGTATTGTAAAAGGCGCTATATAAATAAAGGTGACTTGACTTACAAGTACACTATTATGTTGGTATATTATCCTGACCACAACCATTTCTAGGGTTTACAAAGAATGGTGTGAAAAGGGAAACACGTCCAATATGCGGCAGTCCTGTGGGCGAAAATGCCTTGTTGATGCTAGAAATCAGAGGAGAATGGGCCAACTGATTCAAGCTGATAGAAGAGCGACTTTGACTGAAATAGCACTCGTTACAACCGAGGTAGCAAAGCATTTGTGAAGCCAGAACACGCACAACCTTGAGGCGGATGGGCTACAACAGCAGAAGACCCCACCGGGTACCACTCATCTCCACTACAAATAGGAAAAAGAGGCTACAATTTGCAAGAGCTCACCAAAATTGGACAGTTGAAGACTGGAAAAATGTTGCGTGGTCTGATAAGTCTCGATTTCTGTTGAGACATTCAGATGGTAGAGTCAGAATTTGGCGTAAACAGAATGAGAACATGGATCCATAATGCCTTGTTCCCACTGTGCAGGCTGGTGGTGGTGGTGTGGAGGATGTTTTCTTGGCACCCTTTAGGCCCCTTAGTGCCAATTGGGCATCGTTTAAATGCCACGGCCTACCTGAGTATTGTTTCTGACCATGTCCATCCCTTTATGGCCACCATGTCCCCATCCTCTGATGGCTACTTCCAGCAGGATAATGCACCATGTCACAAAGCTCGAATCATTTCAAATTGGTTTCTTGAACATGACAGTACTAAAATGGCCCCCACAGTCACCAGATCTCAACCCAATAGAGCATCTTTGGGATGTGGTGGAACGGGAGTGGAGCGGGATGTGCATCCCACAAATCTCCATCACCTGCAAGATGCTATCCTATCAATATGGGCCAACATTTCTAAAGAATGCTTACAGCACAATCAATGCCACGTAGAATTAAGGCAGTTCTGAAGGCACAGTATTAGTATGGTGTTCCTAATAATCCTTTAGGTGAGTGTATGTCCTGAGTGTAGTATACCAGCAGTGCACATGTTAGTGTGCGGCATGGCTTAAGTAACGTTTCCTGGAAGGATCCCGACACAATGACTCACGATGACCAGCGGGTCTGACAACATCCCAGCACACACTCATCATCAGTCAGTGTCAAGCTTATGAAGCTTCAGCTGATAAACTAAACCTCCGGTTCCACTGTGTGGTAATGATGACACTTTCGGTAAGCAGGGTCTCTCAGCAAACTTGGCAGTGCGAATTAAATATGTATAGCTCAATTTTTATCGTGGTTTGCCCATTCCTAAATTTCTGGTATGTTATTCTCCAGTCAGATAGTGGAGCGCAACTGGAAGAAAACAAAACTAGAGGTATTTTGGATTTCATGGAAGGAGAGCTTGATTGCTTACAGAGAGGCTTTAAAAGCTGCTAGATCTGCTTATTTTTGAACCCTATTAGAAGAAAATAAACAAAACCCTAGGTTTTTTTGAAACAGTGGCTAAACTAACGAAAAAGTAAGCTTCAAGCCCAGAAGTTTCCAAGCAACACATCAGTAATGACTTTATGAATTTCTTCACTTATAAGATTGATAATATCAGGGATAAAATTATAACTATAAAACTGTGTACTACAGTATCGCATCAGGGGGTGCATTGTTCTCTCCCGGAGGAAAGATTTGGTTTTTTGCTGCTATAGGAAAGGAAGAATTTTGAAGAAACTCATTAATTCATCTAAATCAACAACTTGTATGCTAGACCCTAAACCGACTAAACTACTGAAAGAGATGCTTCCAGAGCTCATAGATCCTCTTCTTAATCTCATTAATTCGTCTTTGTCGCTAGGATACTTACCAAAAACCTTTAAGCTGGCTATGATAAAACCGCTCATTAAAAAAAATGCAACTTGATCCTACAGAATTAGTCAATTACAGGCCAATCTCAAACCTGCCTTTTCTGTCAAAGATACTGGAAAAAGCAGTCTCCTCACAGCTGTGTTCCTTCCTTGACAGAAATGATATCTGCAAGGATTGTCAGTCAGGATTTAGACCACATCATAGTACAGAGACAGCTCTCATTAGAGTCACAAATGATCTGCTCTTATCGTCCGATCGTGGTTGTATCTCTCTATTAGTGTTACTTGATCTTATTGACCACAACATTCTTTTAAATAGACTAGAAAACTATGTTGGTATTTGTGGAATTGCACTAGCATGGTTTAAATCATACTTATCTGACCGTTATCAGTTTGTAGCAGTAAATGAAGAGATGTCTTATCGATCACAAGTTCAGTATGGCGTACCACAAGGCTCAGTACTAGGACCGCTGCTGTTCACGCTGTACATGCTACCCTTAGGAGATATCATTAGGAAGCATGGCATTAGTTTTCACTGTTATGCCGATGATACTCATTTCTATATTTCTTCAAAACCAGACGAAATTAACCAATTCACAAAATTAACGGAATGCATAGCTGATATAAAAAATTGGATGCCTAGCCATTTCTCGGGCTGGCTATTCTATTCTAGGGCACAAATTTCACAATTCAATTTGATTTCGATTAAATGCAAAATTGATTATTTTGGATATCAGGTACATATATGGCAAATTTTCTCAAAGAAAACAAATCTCTAATATATAGGGCATAGAGTAATGAAAAATAAAAATAGCTAGTTAATACCATTAAGAAGCCTCAAAATAGCCCCACAGTAACATAATGAGGGTCCATCATTAATGAGGGTTCGTGGTTTGACTTGTAGAGACTGTTTTCCAAAGGTGGACTGTCTTTATAAAGTATCTTCTTATTCAATTGTCTGTACACTTAATAAGTTCTCAATGCTTCGGTTTTAAGTGGATATATCAGGAATCAGCTAAGACGCCTGCTTTTACATTTTAAACCTGAAACTAGAAATAAGTGCTTGACTTGGTTCGGGTTGAATAGCTAGTTCTTTTACATGGTACCAAAGTTGGTTTCCTTTTCGACAACTCTAAACAGAACTCTGCTGGGGTCTGTCCTTTTAATTCCTATGGGATTTTTTTTTTACAAAATCAAAACCACAAACATGCTCATTTAAAAAAAAAAATACCGGTCCCACTTTATATTAAGTGGCTTTAAGTACTATGTACTTACATTGAACAATTAGTAAAATGTATTATTGTGTTCCTGTTGTATTGTAAAACACTTTTGCTGCTATTGAGGTGTGATATGGGTAAGGTTAGGGACAGGTGTGGTGGTATGGGTCGGTTTAAGGGTAGGTTAAGGTGTGAGGGAAGGGTCAACTGTGTAATTACAAATGTAATAACATAAAGTAATTATAGCTGGTATTACATACTGGTATTTTTAAAATATAAGTACAATGTAAAAACATGTATGTACACAATAAGTCCATTGTATCAAATTATTAATTTCAATGTAAGTATATAGTACTTAAAGCCACTTAATATAAAGTGGGACCGAAATACCACATAACAAATAATGAAATACTCGGGATTAAATGTTATAAAGCTGTTTTTCAGTTCAGTTTTTGTTGAATTTGTACTGACATAAGTATCTCGAATTAAAGTCAGATTTTATTGAGGCCTCCTATAAAATCATTACACCATAAAAGAAGGTCATCCGTGAAAAGGCATATGATGCAATGTAACGTTTTCATTAAAAAAAACATCATGCACTTTATAATCTGATCAAAGACAGAATCAAAGCTGAAGCTATCAGTGCTCCATTCCTGTGGCATGAAAGACTCTACAGATGACCAGCGACCCGATGACGAGAGTTACGAAGCTTTGAACGTCTGATCATGGCGAAGCATTGATGCGAGAGACTGAGAAGCTCTGATGTGTCTAATGCCATATCACATCAATATGATACACTTGCATACAATTTTCACTCGAACTTCAATTTTCAAGCTGCTGGGTGGAGATTATGCATGAACAATACCAAACTTTTGACTGGTAGTTTATGTAAATTAAAAAAAAAGACATAAAAAGACAAAGCCACACCCAACAATTAGCAACAGAAATAAAAAACATGCTTTCTCTGTGTTTGACATCGATCGGTTTAGAACGAGTTTAATAGCGACAGGTGGAAGCGCATCATTTCCTGTGACATTTTACTGATGGACCATTGTGCAGAAAAACAGATCATAGAGGAAATGTGCAGGAAGAAAGCATCTCACCGCAGCCGAGTCCTATAGAAACGGGAGGCCCAGAGGGAATCAG